GAACACTGAGGATTTTTGAATCGTGTTATATCGACGTCATTCTTTACGGTTGAGCAAGAAATGTGATAAAAAACTTCGATCAATATTTGATTCGATAAGCTTTTAGGAAAAATGATATTTACAGATAAGTGCTTATAAATTTCACGAATTCTATTTTGCTAATTGAAGAGACCAACGCTGCAGCCTGAATTAGTCGATTCATCGCTGAGCGAAGGGTTTAAAATCGGAGTTTACCAAAAGGGTGTACGATGGAAAGTCTCCCACCAATAGGTGTGAACGTTTAAAGACTCTGGCACGTGCTTGCAGAACGAGAGTTAGCTCGAATGGAATGTATCGACCACGAGGCGTCTCGGGTTCGTTCAATACTCGGAACGAGGAATCGGGAGCACGAGAGAAACCGAGACAGAAAGAGAGAGGGAGAGAAAGAGAAAGAGAGGTCACGAGGACCATTGAGCCGCTCGATTCAGCCAAAGGGCGAACGCAGGTGTACAAGCAAGCCGGCTGACTGGTACTCACGGCCCGAAGGGCGCAAGCATTTTAAGTCCCGCAATTGAAATTAACACAGGGCCGTACAACAGTGGCAATGGGATTTCCGGGGAGAAATGAGTCACGGCCAACGTTGTCGTAGGTGGAGGCAAAAATCCGATGGTAGGGATAGATATCTCAGGCATGAAGTCGCTAATTCTGGCGCCACCGTGTTTCGTCTTCCATCCTTGAAAATATTCGCAATCTACTATCTCTCTATTTATAACAAATTACTTAATAACAAAAAATAAAAAGGATTCACGAATTTATTCAATTGGCAGCTTGACGATATTCGAATCGTACACGCGTTTAATCAAAAAGAATGATAAGATAAAAGTGCTGAGTGAAGTTCACACGTCAGTAGCTGCACGTGTCGAAAAACGACGTATCGCGTTTCATTAACATCTGCAGCGAGATGGAAATGTAACTCCTTTTTTAGAGCGTTGATAAGGCGTAATCGAATACGTCCGTGTAGAAACGTTCCTCAGCAAATATATAAGTTCATGCCTGGCGAGACGTACGGCCCTGCGCGGGGTTGGGACAAGCGGGCAAGAGCGCAAGTCTTCAACTAATGCCAAACGATTCCCTTATTATACTCGCGTGTGGAAATCTCGTTGTAATTGGGGCGAACGCATCTCCGTTGCCAGCTGTCGCTTACGCTGTCGCACAGCTTGTTCAAGCGAACCGGTCCCAGTTGCATTACAATAGTGCCGCGCACGAGGAGAGAGAACGGAAGCGAACCGGGCAGTGAGAGTGCCGACTGCGAATTTGTTCGACGAGCAGAGCGCAGCTCGAAACTGGCTACAACCTCTACTAGTGCGGTCTGGTCGCCATCTTAGATCCATCGTGGGCAGCACGTTGTTCTACTCGCGGTTGTATCCGTAACGATAGTTCCAGGAATCGTGGAAAATCAAACAAGGGATGCGAGAAGGAAAAGTGTCTTTTTTCCTCGAACGCGAACGTGTATAAAAATCGTAAGCGGCACGATCGATCGGCGTGTCGAGCCGAGGCGTGGGTGTTGCGAGCAGCGTGGAACGTCGAGGAGAACCGCGGAGCGGCTTTTGGCCCTGGATGTCCGTTGCCCGCCGATACGAGGAGCACAGATGCGTGAAACGCGTGCGAGACCGCGGCAGTGTGCAAAGTGATTCCCTGGAGGAGAGAGATTTTTTCTTTTCTGTTTCCTAATTTACTACGCGCGAGCGACACGGAGCGACGAACAGCTTCGAGGACATTAGCGACGGCTCATTAGTCAGTATGAACAAAATGCTAGGAACAAACTATTGCACCGTGTTCTCTGTACTTAGAAGTCCCGAGGAGGGTGAATCGTTTAAGCGAATCATCTGAATTAATCGTCGTGAGGCGACATTTAGAGGTCCAGAAGAGAGTGGCCGTGAGAGCGGATTAATTAATTGATCAGCCGGAGTCACAAGTGTGAAACGATATAAAAGTGGAAAGTTTCGTTCGGTGAGAAAGAAATAAGTGCTTAATCATTCGTGGAACTCGTGGGAGTCGTGTGATCATCTTCAAGAAAGGAACGTTGACGTAATCACATACACGTATGTGTGACATCCGAAATTTGCAGAACTGTTAATCCGATTTTATAGCGTACTTTGATCGTGTGTTAAACTCGATTTAAACGCGTGTCGGACTATCTATACGATCACGAAATCAGTGAGTCATAAGTACTTAAGACACAGTCAGCTACAAGGTCTTAGAATAATATATATTTATTCCTGGCTGAAACCGATCGCAAGTAGAGCGATCGATAAATCATTTTATCGACTCTGTTTATTTAGCCAACCACGCAGGTTACCGTCGATCGAGGAAAAGCAGATAAACCGATAGCAAGAGCGATTGTCTTACGACTTGTCCCCTGCCGATCGAAACGTCCGACGGCATCCAAAATACCCTTATAACCCGTAATGTATTTGAGGTCGCGCGCACAGGCAGCAAAAGGGAGGCACGAGAACACAAGAGAGGCGATCGAGGTCCGATACCTGGTTCGAGGTGACAACCTTGGATCGTGCTCGAGGACCAGGTGGGCCCCGGTGGTGGATTTCACGGACTGCGAGGAACCGCAGCTGCCGCTTCATCGGCCGACATCCGCGGACAGGGATTCAGGGGAGCAGCGGGTGTGCCTGCGACGCGGTATGAGCGAAGGTGAACGGGCAGTAATCACGCCGCGAATTGGCTGGCGGAAGCTGACCGATCCTGGCGACTGACACGAATCGAGGAACCCGGTGGCAGGTCGGAAACGATAGCACCAGCTGCTGTTCCGTCGCGCCGCACACAAGGCTGAGATCTAGACCGAGGATATCGAAGATGGATCCGAACATGGCGGGTAATCGGTGTCGGTAGCAGACGGGGTTATTAATTGAGAAGAAGGACAATAACAAGAAGAAGAAGGAGAAGAGGGAGGTGAAGGGAAATACACCACGTCCCTACCCGTGAACTCTTCTCGGGTTAGCCACGGCTGGGACTGACGATCTCGCAGAGTCCCCGTCTCTGATTTCAAAAACAACGAGGAGCCGCCGTGGAACCACCCCTGGAACGGACTCTGTTGTGTTGTTGTTTCGACTCCCCGTTTGTTGTTTTAAAAGTAGCGACGCGCGTGGTACGCGGGTCCCGATAGACAATAAATCTCGTAGCTGATAGTAGCAGTGGGTACACTCGCGGACATGTAGTAGTTGGAAGCTGTTGGGAAGGACAAGAAACGAATCCAAAGGAAAATACGCTGTCGTGATACGTGATGGCAAACGGTATCCTCGCTGAGTGATCTCTCGAAACCACGGACAATTGTACCTAATTAGAAGAAAGAGAAGCATATATATATTCACATATACATATATATATACATATATATATATATCTTGTATAGTAGTTGCACTTTTGTCGTTCCTCTATTCCTGCGATCATCATGCCGCCCACACCGAGCAAGTTGAACTTGAGCTTCGCGAGAAACGCGTACAGCGTGTTTGGGGCACGCGGTACTAACGCGACCGCTGATCACCAGCGCGAGCAGAAAACGGAACTCTTGGAGGGTAAGAGGCATCGATCAATCCGTCCATTAGATCACTTGGCACCGACCCGATTCAATTGTCCTTGGCGAGCCGTACGAAATTGCCTTTCATAAATAATACCACTGATATCTCCGATGAAACGAGTATAATTGATCGCCGCTCTCGCTTCGCGGTCCAAATTATTAAATATAACGTTCCCACGTATGGCTGCCGTTTATTGGCAGGTCGTCGCCTTGGTTTATTGGTCTAATTAGTGGGACGTATTGACTGTTTTAGGTACCAGGAGCAACGGAATCCACCACCTGAAAAATGGTATCGATTACATCAACCCTGGTGAGGAGGACCAAATGGAAATTTATGGGTAAGTCGATGGGAAATTACTTTACTTAAATAGAAATGCGAATATCTGAATGAATAAACATTGTATTTCTTTATTTGCAATTTTTTAACAATTTCTTAATATTATTTCATTTTCTTCAGCTACAAAAGAAACAAACTCCTAACTGCTGTCACTTGGTTCCTAATCATCGTCACCGGAGGCCTGCTTAGATTGGTCTTCCATTGGGTCCCGCGGCTGATGCTGCAGGCGACTCATTCAAGATGTCAATTAAGTTCCGCGGACACCGTTTTGCTGGTGGAAAAGTTTCAAGGAAAACACACGAGCTATCACGTAAAAAGAGTGGAAACAATGGCTGCGCAAGACGTACTGTTAGTATCTCATTTTACAAATCTACTTAATTCATCACGAATCAAATTAACTTCGTGTTCTCGTATACAGTAATTATCCCTTTGACGGAGAATCGTTGATGGACAATGAACCGTGGGTGGAGAATGGTAGCATGATAACCATCAAGGAAGTAAAGGAAGAGTATCATCCAACCTTGTCTTTGCATTTAGTCGGTGGTCAATTTAAACGTAAGATTTATACAAACAGTTATATATTTAATGTGATAAAAAAGGACAGAGTCTGAATGTTTGTGTTTGCGTGCAGAGGTTCCGTCGATCATTCTATTCCACTGCAAGAAATTGACATACATCTGGGATCCCGAGAGATCCGAGTTCCTCAAACTTCGAGGCTTGGACGTTGGCGTATTCACCTCCACGCTGCACCAGATGCAGGGATTGAATTCTTACGAACAACACATGAGGCAAATATTTATAATAGAAATAAATTGTGAATTATAGCTGAAAGAACAATGTTCGATAGTTTCAACACTTTTCTATAGGCGCAGCGTTTATGGAAACAACGAAATAGTGATACCAGTAAAGAGTATCGTGACGTTATTATGCCTCGAGGTACTCAATCCATTCTACGTCTTCCAACTGTTCAGTTTTTGCCTCTGGGTCGCCGACAACTACTACTACTACGCCATGATCATTTTAGCCATGTCCAGCGCCGGCATAATTATGGCAGTCTTCCAGAATCGCAAGGTGCGCGACGTTCCGTTAAACTTTATACACGACTCATCGAAAACCGTCAATAATTCCAGAATGCTTTTGTAGAATCAACACAACTTGCGATCGACTGTACATTCTTCCGACGTCGCGACTGTGATAAGGGACCGCGCGACTGGACAGACGGCGACTGTCCCCGCTGAAAAATTGGTGCCCGGCGACATCATCGTTATTCCATCCCATGGTTGCCTGATGGCCTGCGACGCTGTGCTTCTCACGGGTAACTGCATTTTGAACGAGTCCATGCTCACTGGAGAGTCGGTTCCAGTTACGAAAACCCCGATTCCGTCGTCGAATGAAATTGTGTACGACACGAAGGAGCACGCGAGGCATACTCTCTTCTGTGGCACCAGGGTCATACAAACCAGATATTACGGATCAGAAAAGGTAACTCAATTTCAATCCATTAATTCAGACATGTCCAAATGGCTGATTTCAGTTATCGCTGGCTCTCAAACTATTAAAAAAATGTATTTTAAATAGACATTTTATTTACGTATTGTAGTACTCAGTTTTTAATATTTTTTGTATTCATGAACATGGCGAATATTCTTTACATTCACTACTGATACAATTTTATTATAAATGCATAAAATCTGCTGTCTACTTATAATAGGCGACACTGTGTGTGTAGACTTATTTAATTACTCTGTCTCGCTCGGGGAGTCTATTTACTTTCCCATCATGCTGCGCGCTCGAATAACGAGCGGTTGTAAGAAATCTGATATAGATAGATATACGAAGACTACTGTTTTTCAATGTAAACTTTCAATGAATTCATTCAACATGAATGTGCACGTACCGTTTATTTATTATTCGAACGGCCTTCCGTTCGACCGGAAGATAAAACTACCAAGGGCGAAGTCGAATTTAAAAGGCGGCTTCCAAAGCCAATGCGTTAACGCCGACTCGCGATGTACTATTATTATATGCTTCCGTCGACATGCCTGCGTTTATTGCTTACAAGGAATTCTAGCGAAGTGATAATGGAGTTGAAAGTATACATCGTATGGGTCCTAAAAATGTAAACGTTATGATAAATATTACGATGTACACTTCTTCACGCCACTAAAACTTGACCCTTGTTAAAAACTTTGATAAATATTATTTTTTTTCTCTTGTGTAATAAATATCGTAATTTTGTGAATAGGTTTTGGCAGTTGTAGTGAGGACAGGATTCAACACCAGCAAGGGCGGCTTGGTCCGCTCGATCATGTACCCTCCACCGGTGGATTTCAAGTTCGAGCAAGATTCGTACAAGTTCGTGATCCTGCTAGCCTGCATCGCGAGCATCGGCGTGGTCTACACGATCGTGACGAAAGCGATGAGAGGCGTGCCGAGCGGTTACATCGCATTGGAAGCGCTGGATCTGATAACAATCGTGGTCCCTCCAGCCCTGCCGGCGGCGATGACCGTTGGTCGTATGGTGGCCCAGCGGCGGTTGGAGAAGAACAAGATCTACTGCACCAGTCCGAGGACCATAAACGTCTCGGGTTCGATCGACTGTATCTGCTTCGATAAAACCGGCACGCTAACCGAGGACGGACTCGACATGTGGGGCGTGGTGCCCGCCGTCGAGCGAAAGTTTCAGCCGGCCGTGAAAGAAATTACCTCCCTGCCACTGAACGACCTCCTAATCGGAATGGTGACGTGTCACGGAATCACTTTAATCGAGAATCAGCCGGTCGGGGACCCGCTTGATCTGAAAATGTTCGAGTCTACAGGTTGGACCCTGGAGGAACCGGACGTGTCCGACACGTCCAAGTTCTCGATGCTGTTCCCGACGATTGTCAGGCCACCGAAGGGCTCCAAGCTGCCGAGAAAGTTGGCCAACGACGCGAAGGTCTCCTCCCTCAGCCGACAGAATTCCATGTCTTCCGACGTGATGGAGAACGTGTCGTTGAACAATGTCGATCCCGCGTTGGCCGGCTCCACAACAGAATTGGCCGAGCAGGGGTTGGAAGTAGGGATCGTCAGGCAGTTCCCGTTCACCTCCACTCTCCAAAGAATGAGCGTGATCACCAGAACCCTCGGTGCGAATCATTACGATCTCTACTGCAAAGGGAGTCCCGAAATGATCCTCAGCTTATGCAGAATGGAATCAAGTAAGCATTCACGAATACGCTTTCTTCATTCAATTAAATAATTCATCTAGTTTTGTTCTATCTGTTTTATGTTAAATCATCTTTTATCAAACGATTAATTAAAATAATACTTTTATCTTTCAGTTCCATCGGATTTTGGTTCCGTGCTGCAAGACTACACCTCGGAAGGGTACCGTGTGATCGGGTTGGCGCACAAAACGTTGAACCGTCTTCCGTACGCAAAGGTTCAGAGGCTGAGCCGCGAGGCTGCAGAGTCCGATTTAACTTTCCTGGCGTTCGTGATCATGGAGAATCGATTGAAGCCGGAGACGATGCCTGTAATCGGCGACCTGAACGCAGCGTGCATAAAAATAGTGATGGTCACCGGAGACAACATGCTGACAGCGTTGTCGGTCGCCAGGGACTGCGACCTTGTGAAACCGGGCCTGCCTGTGATCGCAGTCTCTGCTACTCAGCTGCAGAATCAGATGAAGCCGCAGATCTATTTCACGAAGAGCAGCAGCCAGCCGTCGATGGGGCAGCCTGATCTCAGCGAGATGACTGATCTAAATAGCGTGGCTAGTTTGGACACGGTCGAGAGTGGATCCTTTGGGAACAATCAGTACGAGAACGATGTCAATTATTTATCCGACGAGTGAGTAATTAGATCTTAAAAATTTGTGACTGAGAAATTGTTGCATTGCAAACTGTACGAGTTAGTTTATCGTTCGTGCCAATCTTCGTAATCGCCCCACCCCGCCTTCAGTTTATTTATGTAATACTTAATTAACATATTTCGTTAATTCGTTCTATAGTCGTGAAACATAAATAGGTTACGGATTTTTGTTGAACATAATATTTTTAAGATTTAAACATTTACAGCTAATGAACATTTTAAGAAATTATGTTTAGTAAAAATGTCCTTCAATCCTATACATGTCAAGCTATGCATTTTGCTATTCATACTTTTATCCATTATATATATTTTTTACATTTTTCACATAATTTTGCTACAAATCCATAAAGTTCGTAGTGAACACGTGAAGTTTAATTGAATTTCTAATTCAGTTTACAGCATTCGAAAAACAAATACGTGTTCGCACTGACGGGGAAGACATGGGCGTTGGTCAGACAATATTACCCGGAATTGATCCCGAAGCTTGTCACTCGCGGAGCAATTTTTGCTCGGATGTCGCCCGACCAGAAGCAACAGCTCGTCCAGGAATTGCAATCGTTAGGATTCTATGTTGGTAGGTACACCATTATTTAATTCTAGGATGACGAATTCCTTTTCCGTCGGAGAACTCATTACTAACTTGAGCTGACAAAAGACCTCGTGTATTTCGAATAAAACGTGGAATTAAGTTATAATTATTGCAAATTAAGCTAAGTGTATTTAAGTACCGATAGTAAGAATGGCCAACAAAGTCGATCACGAAACGATTTTTGGTCCCTCCCCCATTGTCACTTATTAGGACAGATGACACGTGTTTGAATTGCGTTAAATGTCAAGACTCATGATATGTCGATCAAATGTCACATAGTTAGATTGCAACATGTTTTTAAGAAAAATGTCAATCATGTATATAATAAAGTTGGCTAACTCCGGTCTATAAAAATTGTTGCAGCTAATCGTGAGGTCATTCTCATCATTATTATCGTATGGTGTAATAAATTACTTTGTCTTTATTTAGCTAAATTGATTAGATTTTTATTTTAATTTATCTAAATTCATAAACGACTTAAGAATAAGTAATTCATTATATAGAATACAATAAAAAATGGAATAAATAATTTGTTATGACGGAAATAATGACTGAAATGATTATTAATGATGATTTTCACTGGCAATAAAATAAATCCTCGTTTAAATATTAATTACAGGAATGGTAGGCGACGGCGCGAACGACTGCGGGGCGTTGAAAGCTGCGCACACAGGAATTTCCCTATCAGACACTGAATCGTCCGTGGCATCTCCGTTCACCAGTCGCGAGACGAACATCTCCTGCGTGCTGACAGTGATCCGCGAGGGTCGCGCAGCCCTGGTCACGTCTTTCGGTATCTTCAAATACATGGCCGCCTACTCCCTCACCCAATTCATCTCGGTGATACTGTTATACGGGATCGAGTCGAATCTAACGGACATCGAGTATCTGTACATCGACCTCTTCATCATCTCGATCTTCGCCTTCTTCTTCGGCCGGACCGAGGCTTACGACGGTCCGTTAGCCAAAACGACACCGTTGAACAGTCTGATCAGCACAACGCCTATTCTGAGCCTCGTGACGCAGATCATGACAGTGGCCTTCTTCCAATCAGCCAGCTTGTGGCACCTTCAAGAGATGGATTGGTACGTGCCGTTCAACGCGACGATCGTCGCTGCCGAGGACAAGGACGACGTTTCCTGCACGGAGAACTACACAGTCTTCATCATCAGCTCCATACAGTACATAATCCTCGCCGTGACCTTCTCCAAAGGTCATCCGTACAGGAAGTCATTGTTCACGAACTACGGTCTCCTCACATCGTTCATTCTGCTGTCGTTGTTCTCCATTTATCTCGCTACCTTCCCGTTCGACTGGCTGGTCGAATGGTTCGAGCTGCAGATACCGGAGAACGTCGGATTCCGGTTCATTCTGATCGGCTACGGCGCCGCGAACTTCGTCATCTCATTGCTCATGGAGAACCTCTTCATCGACTACCTTGTGTTCAGGAAGCTACGCTACCGTTGGCACAACGTCGACAAGTCGCGCAGGAAGTTCCTCGCGATCGAACGCGATTTATCTAGCGATCCGAAGTGGCCGCCGATCTCGCAGGAACCGTTACCGGAGGCCGCCCCAGACATTCTGATCCGGCAGAACGTCACCGAGATTAAAATAGAGAAACGCGTTCCGGAGCCGTGTCATTCGGCCGATACAAGTTTCATGAACAGCCCCGTATGCGGGAACTTCAAGCACTTCGGGTCGGCAAAGGAAGTCACTCTGAACCCCAGGTCGTTGTTCAACAATCGCAGGAACACGGTTTCGATGCAGACGGTACCTTGCTTCGAGGACAGGGACTCGGCGGCCACCGTCAGACAGCAAGCGAACCTCGAACTAACCGCGAAACGGCGATACAATTCGGAGTCCGAGAAATGCTTCAACAAGTCCGACAAATCTTTCAAGAGTCACAGCACCAATCCCATCGCGACCCTGCCGAGGAACACCGGCGCCGCGCTCCAACCGCAGAAACTGAAGGACCTGAAGAACGTACTGATGCACAAAAGCGAGGACGGTCTGTCTCCCAGCACACAAAGTGTCCTTGAACTCGACGTTCTACCGTCGTAGATAGGCTAGACGACGCGTAGATTCATCGCCGGAATTGATACTTAGAACGGAAGGGTAAACGCTTTGATTAAGGGACAGCAGCCGGGTTAATTACTGTTTTGGTATTCGACCGTTCATTGCACGATCTCTATCCGGTTGCCGTGTCTCCAGCTGCCAGTAAATCGCGAAAAGTATCGTAACGGAGATATCGAAGCCTGGAATTAACAGTGGCGGTTCGTTGAGCCCAGTAATCGTTCATTCTACTTTTTTTTTTCCTATAGTTGTACATTTTAATACTGGAGATTCTAATCGAATCCAATCCGCCTCTGAGTTCTCTTTTTACCGGAGAACGTAGCAGATTCTTGGCACGATCTCTATCTAATTATTCTGCTCTCCTTAGCTAAATGTTTTTAAGTACTTGGTATCCTATACAGAATCGTAGAATTAATTTTAAAATAATCGAGGCGATCAGATCCATGATGATGATGATGATGATGAAGGATTTATTTTATTCGTTGTTTGATTTCGATTTAATTAAGCTAGGGAGAGCGCTATTATTCACAGAGTGCATTTAGAATGTCGCGGCGTTCACGACAGCTCGTTAATTACGCGAAACGATGCCCGGGGAAGCATCGTAACTTGCAACTGTAATAACGGAACGGGTCCCTTTTGACCCGGTATTTCTTCGTCCTTCTCCCTTTTACTAGTATTCGATCGTACCACACTCTCTCTCGAGAAAGTATTATTGTTACATTAGTTTATTTATCACAGATGATGGATTTTAACACGTCTGCCTCTGGTAAAGAACCTTGACGCAGGCGAATCGAAGTATATAGGTAGAGGCATATTCTATACATATGTATATTATTATTAATATTATTATTTTATTTTGTTGTTTTTCCTTCGTTCATTCACTGCGAGCTCGTAGATGTGCTACTCAAAGCGAAAACGGGACAGGAGTACGAATGCAGAGTGTACTTTATAAATTAGGGATCATAGAGAATTTGATGAGTTCCGGTCTTCGATTATTTATCTAGTCCAGTTTCGTTCACATTGAACCGGAAACGCTCGTTGACGAGCGTCGATGGGTATAATTCCGCCGCGAGAAATGGGATATATTATTGTAGATCGCGTTTTCTGTTTCTGGTGTGAAGAAGAGGACATGTAACTAGTTCAACCTAATGATACTTAAAAGCATCGAGCCCTCGAGATATGCTCGACGCTCGCCGGATACTTAATTGTTATCAGATATTAATAAGATGAAAAAAATGAATGTGTACTTATTATATTACGCAATGAGGAAAAACACATTACTTAAGCGCGTTGTTCTACTATTCGTGACGCTAAGCTTGCGTTGAATTATAGCGGTTGTCGAATAACAAAGTATGTTTTTAATGTAAACGCGTTGTTCTTTCCTCCCTGTCTCCTCCCATAGGGATATTCATAAGGTGACCTAATTTAAAACAGTAAAAAATTGTAAAATAGAAGTGAAACGTTTATTAAGACGAATATCACACGCACTTTATGTACGAAATAAATTCGTGTTCTCGTCACACTTCAAATTCGAGAAGCAGAGTCAAACGTTACAATCTTTCCCCCCTCTCGTTAGAAAAATATATAATTGCACTAAAAAATCAACACGCTTGGCGACTGTTCAGACTCTTCCAATCGTAACGACTCTGTCCCTGATTTCATATCACTTTTCACGTCGATACACGTACGATTGCACAGTGTCAGATCATCGTTCGATCACCGTCGGTAAACTTTGTTTCATGCAAAGTTTCTTTGTTTTTCGTTTCACCGTCAATTCATTCGTTGACTCCTGGCTAGGAATTGATGACGTATGTTATCCAGTCGACGGTCTTAGCCACGCGATGGTAGATCCCCGGTTGGCCCGGTTGCGCACAGGAATAGCCTGCTGACACGATGCCTATTAGGTACCACCTTCCTGTCTTCTCCAGCATCAGTGGTCCACCGCTGTCGCCCTGCAATCATTTTATTTTACTATATCAACAATCTTCGGTTTTTTTGTGCAAAATAAAATGTTTATGGTATCAATTGAAAGAATGTTTAACCCATTCGCTGCCAAGGACGAGTATACTCGTCTTTGGCAGGGTGTCACGCATTGCCAGGACGAGTATACTCGTCCTGCTTTAAATATATTATAACATGCAGGCTCTTTTGAAGGCCCATTGCCAACGACGAGTATACTC